CCTGCTGAATAATAAGCATCCACTTGTGTAGGCTCAGAAAAATTGGTTAATCTATATGACAATTATATGAAATAATTATTTTCATGGATTAGGGTGTAATAGTAAATTATGATGAGATGGAGACAGACAGAGATCTATCTGCATTTCTTAGGCTCACTGAAGCAACAGGTTTGAAGGTAGGGGTAATACAGTCCAGCCTTCCCAAACTAAATTGCAGACACTTACGTTTGTGGGATCTTTTCAGGCAACACATTACAAGCACAAGTCCTCTCTGGCCATGTCTGCACAGTAAACATGTTGTGCCTGACAGTGGTGCCATCAAGCCCACCATGCTGCTCTGCATAGCCTGCCTCCTCGACCCGAGGCAGTGTACCTGTATCCACAAGGCCCTCTGGGCAGGGTAATTCTGAGCGACTGCCAATTATGCCTGCCATACTGTGCCAGTGCAATCCCATGGCTTCCAATTTATCAGGCAGTTCACATGAAATGACACCATATGCTTGATATTCAGCTATCAGGCACAGTGAGTTCACAGTGTTGACACCGCCTCTGTTCTACAAGGACACTCCTGGAACACAGAAGCACCTTGCTACAAACTTTGTGCTATGATAAAAAGCTGATCATTTAATTTATACTATCTGCCTCTTAGACAGTAATTTGAGCTTTGCTCTGCATTCAGTAACATACCTCTCTGTTAAGGCTTTGCTTTGAGTATCTCTTGCTGCCTGAAGGTCTTCCTCCAGACGTTTTCTCTCCATTTCCAGTCTTTCCACTTCACCCCGAGTCCACTTTCTAGGGCTAATAAACCGCAATTCTTTTAAGAGTTCCTCCTTCTCATTGATTAATATTAATCGGTCCCGTTCTGAATCCAATACACCTGGCCAGGCCTCGCTATCCAGTTTAGCCAGCTGTATTTTTAGGTTTGCTATTCTATGGAGGGAGAGAAAGGGGCGGGGAAGAGTGAGGGGAGACAAAAAAAGTCACTGTGCATTTATCGGTTAGAAATCAGCTCCTACTTGACACATACTTACATAAGAATGAGCAACCAGGACAACTAGCACCCATTACAGCATTTCAGTCTGGAGACTAACTTCACCTTATTTTCTGGCCCTCCTTACACTACGATTTCTTGGATCTCCAATACCAGTAAGTACAACTCTACTAATGGCGCACACATTTTTTTATGAATAGAGAGAACTAATTCAGGGCTGCAAACCCGGTACCCTGAGAGAATATGCACATAAAACATTGATTTTATACTAAAGTAGCTAATAGTATGCAAGTTAGTACTAAAACACCCAATGCTAAATGTTGAAAAGGTTCTAGAAATTAAAGCCCACTTGCAACCATGTTAAGGTGCAAAGAGCAAGCATTTGCCTGGGATGGTTCAGGAATAGTACATCCTACACTTGTTCAGGATGTTAGACTAGGGAATCCTTGAGGTTCCTTCCAAGCCTATAATCCTACAAATCCAACATGCATGGGAGATCAGAATGCATTACATGGTATACCAGGAGTACATTAACATTTTATCTTTCGATGCTGCAACTACCATATGAACAAGTTAATTCCTCAACCCGGTCTCAGAATTCCCATGTATTATTACAGAAGCTCACTTCAGGTTGTTAATATAAAAATGCTATTTTAATTCCAAAGGCTCAACATAACAAACTTTACATTCCCTTATATTTAGTGCTGCATCAAAATACATTCAGGAACCAAAGGGAATTGAGACACAGGGTTTGGGAATAATCATTAGAAGTAATCAACAGTGATAGCTCATATGTTAGTAACTAAGACTAATGAAGATGCACAAGTCTGAAAACCATAATTTTAATTGTGAACTATATGGTTGTATAACAGTTTCCATTTTAATAGAGTGACTTATATTTCTGAAACCTTCCCTTTAGAGAGAAAGCATAGAAAAATTGATCCTTAAACAACAATGAACTATCGTCGAAAACTTGAAACATTTTTACATGAAGTTTTGAAGCAAGGAGGGTGGGAATGTGTTTCTCTATTTCAAAAGATTTTGCCAGGCACTTACACAAAACAAAAAACTCTATAGCTTAAGGGTGACCAGAATTACTCGCTGTGGGAGCCACATCTGATCCTCTACATGAAGTTCAAGGGGGAAGTGGGGAGAGCTGGCAGGTCTGGGAGAAGTGGGCAGGGCTTCAAGAATCAGGACAAGAGCTGCAAGTACCATGCCGCAAAACATGCGGTTTGGCCACCTTTACTATAAGATGAAGGGGCTGGGAGGTGAGAGTCTTAGGTTGGACAGATAAGGTATCTGCAGACATGCAGGGAGGCTGCGCCGATGCACTGCAATTACAGCAGCATGTTGGAGGAGACTCATTTAATTAGCATGCTGGAGCATGCTAATTAGCGCAGCCTTGGCATTTCATGTATTCAGCATCCCCACACTTCAAAATAGCAGTGGGGGTGCTTTAACTAAAGCTGGTCAAACAAGCTTTAGTTAAAGTGCCCCCATTGCTATTTTGAAGCATGGGACACTGACTACACGAGACGCTAAAGATGCTTTAATTAGAGCGGCTCTCAGAGCTGCTCTATGAAAGTGCCTTACCCCTCTACCCTGGAGCATGTGTAAATATGCCCTTAAATTGCTGTCTTGCAGGAGTACTTGTAAAGCTCTTGAGGGCTTGTTTAAACTGGAGTTAAATCAAACACCAAAGACAACTTGTTGCCAATCTCAGTTTCCTGGCTGAGTGCTCAGGTATAGCACTAGAACTCAGGAGATCTAGGTTCTATTTCATTTATACCACTGAACTGCTGAGTGATTTTGAGGAAGTCACCAGAATGTCCTGTACCTCATTTCCCTCATCTGAGAAATGAAGCAATCACACTTACCTCCTCTTATAAAAGATTTTGAGATCTACTGACGAATAGTAATGAGACCAGGACATCATTTATGTAAATAAAGATGGACAGGCTTAATTTGTTTTGGGGCACAAATGTTTGCGAGTGGATGCCACAGTCAGTAGGTACAACTATATTTGCTAACTCAAGTAGCCTTAGGAGGAGAGACTGGGGGACCTGGATCTCTTCAGTCTACACAAGAGAAGGCTGAGAGGTGATCTTGTGGCCTCCTACAAATTCATAGTGGGGGAGGCACCAAGGAATACGAGATGCTCTGTTTACCAGGGCACCCCTTGGAGTAACTAGGAACAACGACCACGAAGTGATGGAGAGCAGATTTAGGTTAAACATCAGGAAGAACTTTTTTACAGTTCGGGTTGCCAGAGTCTGGAATAGGCTTCCAAGGAAGGTGGTGCTCTCGCCTACCTTGGAGGTCTTTAAAAGGAGGCTAGACATGCACCTGGCTGGGGTCATCTAACCCAAGCGCTCTTTCCTGCCCAGGGCAGGGGGTTGGACTCGATGATCTACCGGGTCCCTTCTGAGCCAAAGACCTATGAATCTAAATTGACAGCCAAGTAACTTGGGTTCAAAACCCCAGTACAGATCAAACCACACGTACAGGCCTAACCCACCCTGCCTGGTTTATCACAGTTAAAAGGACCACAGCAAGGTGGGGGAAAATGACAGGAAGTAGTGGAGCTCATCAGCCGCATGACTCTCGGATGCCCCTCAGGATTCAACTTCATCTCTTCACCCATTTCAGAGCCCAAGAGCAGAGGACCCAGAGGCTCTGTGAAATGATGGCACAGTTGTGTGTAGCTCCTGATTCTTTCTGAGGACATTAGGATGATGTCACTTCGGCACAGAGGCACCAATTTTTACTACTGAGACAGTTCCCACAGGAGGATTGCTTACTTTTAATTAATATAAATTAATCCTGACTATTTTTAGCTTTTACAGGAGCTATTTTGTTTTTGGCTGCTTGATTAGGTACAGCGTTGTACTCCAGTGAAGAATTAACAGTGGCATTAATTCATAATCTGAGACTTGCTCTGTGCATTTTGAAAGAGTATGAATTTTATAAGAGGATTGCTTGGTATTAAATATGATCACTTCTGGCATCTATTTGCATGGATATGGCTTTTACAATGAAAATTGCTCCTAACAGTCTGCACATTCTTAGTTTTGTTAAACTGAAATTTACCCTGCTTAGCAAGCAACCATTTCCCCTCTCTTTTTGGATTAAAGGCAGGTTTACAATATTAAGTGTAATAACATTTATTCATCTTTAAAAAAGAAATGCTTTTCAGATGACTTGGCATTTAACGAAAAACTTTAGCCATTCAGCATTCACAGACTGATAATTTAAACCACTTCATTCACGCACAAGCCCAGATTTGCATTATAAAGAAATCAGTGACACAGGATTTGGATATGCTGAGCACAGAGTGCTGAGCAACTCCCAAAGCTGAAGAAAGTAGAGGAAAGAAAGCTCAGTTTTAGTTTTACACTGTTTTCTTTTAAATTAGGAACAGTACTTGGACGGTCTGTCTGTTGCTCTGATTCATTTAGTGAAGTGAGCTGGTGGGCCGCATGTGAGAAGGATAACATTTTCAACAATAAAGCCCACCCTCTCTCTTTGCAATAAATCAGAGTATGTGCACATCATGAATGATTTGGAACATGGGTCAGCAACCTATACCCCATGGGCTGTATCCAGCCGACAGAGCCATTTTATCTGGCTCATGAACTCGGGAGCTATAGTGGCATTTCTGTTGCAGCACAGTGACCATGCAATGCTGAAAAGTGGTGGTGGCAGCACTGCAGATGACAGCAGTGGATGTTGTGGTGGCAGCAGCAGCATGGGCCAGGTTTGAAGTGGCCTGAGCTCAGAGTAGCTTGTGCTCCAAAATGCCGATGACCCCTGATTTGGGGGGATAGGATTGAGTATACACTTAGCAAACTTGCAGATGATGCCAAACTGGGTGGATCCTGGGGGATAGGATTAGGATTCAGAATGACCTTGATAAATGGGAGAAATAATCTGAATTTAATCAAATTAAATTCAATTATGGGCAAGCGCAAGATCCTGCACTTAGGATGGAACAATCACATGTACAAATATGGACTGAAGAAGGGCTGGCTAGGCTGCAGTACTGCAGAAAAGAACTGTAGGGTATAGAGGACTAAAAGCTAAATATAAATCAATATGATGCTTCAGTTGCAAAAACACCAATAGCATACAGGGCTGTTTTAACAGAAGCATTGCTTGCAAGTAAAAGGAAGTAGGTGGTCTGCTTTATTCACCAGTGGCAAGCCCTCACCTGGAGTACTGTATCCAGTTTTGGGCAAGGCATTTCAAGAAAAGTGAGGAGCCACAAAAATGATTGGACAGATCTACATCTGTACTTCACTGGCACTTGCCAATTATGCCTACCAAAAGGGAGACTACGCTTCAGAAAGTGTTCTCATACTTGCAAAAATATACCTAAACCAGTGGTGCTCAACATCTAGCCTACAGGCTCTATCTGTGGAGCTGTGTCATCCAGTCATGGTGTTGCTCACGGGTCTGGAAAATTTGTGGTGGTGGGGCAGTAGCACAGCTACCAATTGCTCCCAGAACTATAGCAATTAACAATGTCCTCACTTCCCCACCACCAAATTCTCGACCGGTGGGACCCCCAATGATGTGATCCAGTGTCATAGAGGTTGGGCACCACTGACCTAAATGATTTTAAACACATATTGCTATAGCTATTACACCAGATATGGCAATGGTTTAAAATGGAGGAATTTCAGAGATTATAAAACAAATGTAAAAGGTCCATCTTGGTCAAAAGTTATCGATAATCACAGTGGCTAGTGCAATTCCCTTTTCATGATAAGATATTATATTGCTAGAAAACAAGCTGCTTTAGATATTAAAAAAAAAACTTTAGATTGTGATGAAAACTTTTGAAAACAGAGCTTCAGATTCCATTAGGAAATTAGTTCTTTCAGAATGGAATATATTACCTGCTTGATCAAAGAGCCCCTTGGAAGGCATTTGAACTTGCTGTCGATGAGAATTTTTTACCCCTCCACAGTACATTATAATGGTATGTTCAATTCAAATAGTAAAGCTTCTATCTCAAATATTCTTGGGAAATATGTTATTGTTCTTTTAGATAACAATTTGAGTCACTAATTCTCTAGAATATCATTCGTCCTGGTAGACTTTACCACATATGCTCTTCTAGAATGACCCTTGATTTCCATTAGAGAAGTTAGTCATCATCATAAAGCTCCTGGTGAAGACTAACCCACACACAAATCTATGAGGATACAGTCAACTGGGAGATCCTGTTTCAGCAAAATTATTTACCAATATAAAGACTGGGATGTTCCCTGCAAAGTGGCTGATTGCTATCATCATCATCCCTCTTTATAAAACATGGCCTGGGAATTGTTGTCCAATTAGTCTTTTAATGTATTGCTCTTCAGGAGACTGGCTGAAAGCTACAATTTTTGGGGGGAGACAAACAAGCCATCCATCTGTTCTTGAGTGGCTGTGAGCTCAAGGTCAATCTAAAAATACTGTTCTATCAAGGTGATGCAACCTTCATTGATTTGAAATCTGCTTTTGATTGTGTTGACAGCCATCATCCTCGGAAGGCCAGGGTAGAGCCTTTTTACCTTTCGAGAAGCCCTTCATAGCCAGCTAGTTGCCCAGTTAGGGAGACAGTGAAACTACAAACTAACTGAACCTATTTCTATTACAAAGGACATGCATTAGGTGTTTGAACTGGTCCCCAGTGGCATTACTAGGGTAGAGTGACCACAGCACCTACCTAAAGTACTAGTTAGCGGGGCATGGGGAAGGCACGGTGGAAACGGCTGCTGTTGCTGCCACTGCCGCCACACAAATTGCACAAGAAGGGGCAGTGGCAACCAGAAATATATGGCAGCTGCCATGTTGTTATGCTTTGGTCCCCATTCTTTTTAGGTTTTTCATTAATAAGAAAGCATAGTGTGAGAAGGGAAATTGTATTTCTGTCAGTCTTCTCATATGCTGATATACTCTTGCTGTGCCAAACTCCTTTGGGATAGAAGCATCTGTTAATGATATGTTAGCATTTTCTGTGAGCACAACTATATAACTACATAGAAAACCAAAGCAATTACTGTGGGCCACAGACAAAATCTGCATAAAAATGATTGATGATCACTGTCCTTATTTTTTTTTTAAACTAGAAGTCCTCTTTTCATTTGTGTACTTAGTTTATATAAGGATGTGAACATGATAAAGGATTAAACCATAAGGTCCATACACACTATTTTTATTGTTTCTTATGTGCTTGAGGGGAAATTTGGCTCTGAAAGTCCCTAATGCTAAGGTTTCTGCTCACAAAATTAAGTCAATTTGGGTGATGCAAAATAAGTTTTTGGAGAATGCTTGCTTTCCCTTCATATACCCAGATACTTTACTTAGAGCATTCTTCAGCCTGTGCCTTATTTCAGTCAAAGCACACTGCCCCTACCAAAACTAGTTACAAACACAGAATCTGAATTTACATTAGTTTAAATGGGAGGACTGGCTTGTGTTAAATTATTTTAAATATAGCAGTAATTACTTTTTTTATAATTCAATTTTTGCTGACTGTTTTATGGAGTATTTTAAAAGTCAGAAGGCTTGAATCTGTGCTTTTATTATCTGATGATTGTAAAGTGTGTGTTTACTCTGCTGAGCATTATGGTTAATTAACAAGATGTTTTACTAGCAAACTTCTTTTTCATTTGCAACTCCACATAATCATGAAAGCATTAAATGAACAAACCCCTCAAATCAGCCACCAGACAAAAGATCTGGAAGAGATTCTCTGCAGATGAATGGAACCTACCATCTCAGAGTCTAATTGCGCTCTTTAAGGACAACAGAGACATTCATTTATCATAAACTGAAAAATCTCCCCAGTAACCAGTAACAGATTAAAAAACCCCATACATTACCTTCTCTTCGCTTCTTCATAGCGGAGGCGTAATCTCACCTTCTCAGCTAACTGATTATTACTACTTGTAATAAACTGGGGAGAGAGAATATAAAAACAGTATTAAACAAACAGCTGCAGTTGCCTTTTGACATCCTGTACTGAAGTGGGTAAGGTTATCATCTTACCAATTGCATTAAATGGAGTCAAGTACTGACCAGAGTGAAAAGTATTTTCTGAATATTAAGATTTGCTATAAACGATAAAAAAAAAAAAAAAAATACAAGATGCAACACAAGAAAAGCAGATCTTACTAATTCACATAAATGCCTGATTTCCATCCCTCTCTTGTACATTAAAAACCATAGAGAACCTTTACACCCTTCTGAAATGGTGTTTTGTCCACTTTTGGGTTGGTCTTGTTTAGATTTTTGCAATCTTTAGGGAAAGGCACATGATACATCTGTAGGCCCAAACCTGCAAACACTTGTTCCTGTGAATAGTTCTTATTATGTTAAGTAAAAGTTCAACACTCAAGAAATTGTTTGAAGGATTTGCCACCAGGGGCACGTCTACAGAGGACACAGCAGTTTCACATACATATATCCCAGATAATTCTTAATGAGCTAGCTAGTACCAAAAGCAGGAGAACTACATTGGTGTGGTACTCTGTCCAGACCAAATAGCACCGCTGAGAAACAGGATGCATTAGCCTGGGCACAGCCCCACGTTGAGGTGGCCATACTGCTTCTGCTACCCAAGTTACATTTTTTAGTTCACTCGGGTTTTTCTGCACAGTACCACATTGGGCTGTAGGCATACCCTAAGACACCAATCCTATAACCTATCTTGGCTGTCTCCTCTCCTGCACCTGCACAACCTCAATTAAATGAAGGGAGCTCTGTGCTGACAAGGCCTGCACTTCTAATGGCAGGATTAGGACCATTTTTCATGGGGTACTATATAATATACAATAAAAAAAATGTGAAAACATCAGGTGGTAACATTACTACAGCACTCTTCTAGTACATATTACTAAGAAATGGGAGGAGGTCACCATGTCTTGTGTATCAAAAAGCAAAATACATGGAGTAGAGGGGCTCTGCCTTTGCAAGTTAAGAACATTTGTTAAAAGGCATTCAAATCCACCTTAGTGAATCACTAAATTGAAATCTCTGAGGAGTTGCTCATATTCTACAATGGCCACTAATGAGGATAGAAGGTAGGAGTGAATACACTCCTGCAGAAGGTAACAGATGAACTATCCACCATTTAATGTGATATTTAAGTCTTTTAAAGAGTGCAAAATCCTGTACCGATCCTCTAAACAAATCTGAACTTTCACCCATCACTACACGTGCCAATTTTCCATGCATAAAATTGTAACAGAAAAGTATAAAATAAACCCTGCTAGCATTTCTTACTTATCATTCAAATTCCCAAGTGACATATCTCTGTACATGTGACCTCTAGGTAGCCTCCAAATATTCCCTTACATAATAACTGTAGTGTTAGAGAATATACATGCTGTATGAAAAGCCTAGGGGAAAAATATCTATCCTTTTATTCCATTCAGTTTGTTTCTGAGAGCATACTATAAATAAGTCATCCATATGTGCCAATGAAAGCAGAGTATGAGCAAACAGCAAATTGTCATTAGATATGCACTAAAAGTTCAAAGGAAATTTTAAAGGAAAAAAACCCCACTGATAGCTCCTCATGATTTAAACATCAACTAATAGATATTTGTCCTTAATAAGAGGCTTGCAATTGGGTAGCACCAGTTACTCACATTTCCTGAAACCTCCGTTTGTGAGCTTACATCCAGATACTGCCTAGGTAGCAAAGGGCTGGACCCCTCTAAGGAGGTACTGCTGGCCCATAGGTCGGAATGCTGTCCTGTGTCAGCCACAAAGCCATCCTTTAGCCTGGCTAAACTCTAAAATGAGAACAATTCATGAAACTCATTCAAAAATCTCAGCCAAAGTATCACGTTTGTCAACACTAGCACCCTGAATGAAGCATTCCAAACCCTCAATAATAAATCACAGTGACCAATCCTTGAGAAACAGTCCCATAGGAAAGACATCTGCCGGTGAGGGATTTGGGGTTTTATTACCCCCCTGCCCCCCCACCCCAGTTCAAAAAGCCAGGGATGACCAAGTGATTGAATGTAGGCAATTGCTAGTCTCCTTTTATGCTTCACGATCTGTAAATAAGACAAGAATTGTAATTGCTCAGAGGCTGAAGGGCTTGATAGTGGACAATTGGGACAATCCCCAAAAAGCCTCCCTGGAGAACTTCTCATGCTGGGGTGTGCCATCTGATTCAGACAAGCAGGAGCTTCTCAGCTTCATGCTCAGACTGGCAGCTGACATGGCATGAACAAACCCAATGTTATTTCAGTACCTGAATGAGGTCTTGCTTTTCCTTCTCCCCTGAAGTGATTAACTTCTTGATAGCTTTCATTTCACTTAAAATGGCTTGTGCTTCATCAAGTTTGTATCCTCCTTGAGTATCTGACATTTTCATATCAATTCTGCACAGAAATTTGCAAAATGAAAGACAATTAGTTAAAAGGAATTCAAAGTTGAACATATATTTCATAGCTGAAGATGCATATAAAACTTTCCACATCCATTTCCAAATGAGGCATATTCTTAAATTAAATAAGGACTATTCTCACCCATAGTAAGAATGAGCGAGTCAATAAATGATCTGGACCCTTTCCCTTTTTAAAGGGCACATTTGCATATAATAAAGTAATGGTACCTTCAAAATACTACTATTCTGAAGCTAGCCAAAAAGTGCTATTTTAATACCATCTCTGGTTCTTTAAATGTCTACAGTGAAAGACAAACGCATTTAAATAAAATTCTGACAGTTGTCGTCATTAAACATTTAAGGCAAATTAAAGCATAGCAGACTTGCCCCAGGGTAAAAAAAAAATCAGAATTTGTGGAGGATTAATTTTTTCCATCATATGTCTGAACTGATAGTAGAACAAACATCTAGGACACATCTATTCTTTCAGAAAGAAAACATATAGCTTGATATTGTAAATACTACCACCTATTTTCTTACTATCCTAGGTTGCCCTACCATTCACAAATTTAGTAAATATTTGCAAGATTAGGCCATAATGTCATGGACCAGAAACCGTTTGCCTTGGCTTCAAACCTGAAGACAAAGCTTTAGGAATAGTCTCTTCAGACATCTTGCCATGCTACTCCCCAAGTGGAGCAGTGTCAGGATCAGGTTAAAACTGTATTCAAAATGATGCCAGGTAGCATGAGCTAAAGTGGAAATCTGAAATTTATGCTCAGATGTCTCTGGCATTTGCAAAAGTAGGTACCTCTGTGAAACACAAACCTTTGTCTTCTCCTTAGCAGGGCCCTAGGACAGATTTTTATCACTTGATAGTTAAGGCAAGTTTCCACTGCCTTCCCTTAAAAAGGTGCAATTATACAGGAGGATTTGTAAGCTTGTCACAGGTGTATTTTATGTTAAACTGAAATTAACACCCCCCGCACAACCAAATCTAATTCCATGAAGTTCTTCTACTTCTGCCTTCTGTAGGTCACTAAACAAGAAGGTAGATTAATCGTTCTACTTCACTTTTTCCACGATAAAGATCTTCCTTCACTCCACAGAACAATATCATTCTCTTCCTCAACTCAGGAAGTATGCATATTGGTGCATGTATTGTCTTTTAAATAAATTATTTGGTCCAATTCAAAATCACTCTCTTGAGAAGTCAGTACACTGCAAGAACCCTGACAGTTTCATTAGTTATCACATCAGGTAGCATCTGGGACCTTTTTATTTTTTTATTTTTTAAAGGCATTCCTCAATGCTCCTAAAACAATGACTCCTAGAATTAAGGCAATGGGCCATATCATGCCAAGAGCTTTAACTAATATGGGATGCAAGAGAGAATGCTATTTACCAAAATATATAAATATGGCCCCCTCATGTTTTCTTTAGAATTAAGTCAGCGTGTGCACATCTGCAGCAAAAGCAAGCTGTCCCAAGCACTATACTTACTTCTTTAGTGTTTGGAAGCCATGCTCTTTGTACTGTAGTTCCTGTTTCATGTGAGCTACCTCTCTCTTAAGTTTATTAACCTATAATAAATAGGAGAGCAAAGTGTTATATTTTCAGACTGATATTTCACCTCAATATTTTAGATATATCATTCTTCAGACAACCAGAAAATGTTTAAGCAGGATGGACATTTCACTGGAATTGCCTAAAAAATAATTTAGTTCAAAGATAATGTACAGCCCTAACTCCTACTTTATAAAGACAACATTATAATATTGTTCTCCCTGGGGAAACATTCATCAAATGCCAGATGTCACATGATTTGATGATGTGCTTAAAAGATATGAAATGTTTAACCTCTAAAATAAAAATCTGACAAATAAAGATTAAAAGGAGATAGGGAGGGACACAATAGATATAATGCGTCAATAATTTTAAAAGTTGTTAAATATTGGAATAGCTGTTCAGTTGCGATATATCCCATCCACTTCAAAGATCCTATTAAAAGACTCTGCTGTACAGCTAACAGAGAACTGTGAACACTGTGTACAGCTAACAGTGAATTGTGAATACTGTGAATACTGTGTACAGCTAACAGTGATACCATGAATTGTGAACACATGGACTCTGTAGTTTACCGACTTACATTTTCTAGAGGCCCAACCCACTTACATTACTGTTGCTCATACTTCTTCCCAATCTAAAATCTTCAAGAAAGCAATCTAAAATGGACCGAAGACAAAATAGCTACCGGTTTCTGGAGGCAATCAGCAATTTAGAATTGCAATACAGTCACCATGTAATTAAATATTGTACAATATCTATAGAAAAATATGTACTACCAGCCTTAAGACAAGCTCAAAGTCTGTTTTAAAAAGTGTTCCGTAGCTGAACTTTTGGACACAGACTTCAGAGGGTTCTGATATTTTATCTTCTAGATTAAGGTTGGCAGCATTAGCTGTCAGCTGCTTCACCATCTCTTTTAATACTTATTGTGAGGTGTGGAAGTTTCTTAAGATTGCTAGCAGAAAGCAAAGGTCCTTTTATACTTCTTACCCTGGATTTTGTAGTAGCAATTTCAGCTTTAAGAATCTCCGGGTCATATTTAGAACTAGACGATGAGCCAGAGATCACTGGAATGAAGAGAGTATGTTAAATTAAGAAACCTACTCCATGGCACAGTGAACTTTACAATACTTCATACAAACCCAAAAAGATTTATCTGAGCACCAGTACATCTTCCCTGAGACAAACTGGCTTTCAGCTCTCTTCCATACTTCATTCTTTAACCGTCTTCCCATCCCCAAAGTGAAACACAAGGTTCTCTCTCCCATCACTCCCCACTGCTACCTGCATACCTCTCCACCCCCAACCCAAGGCCCGCACAAGAGCAGATGGCCACATGTTCAAGAGGGTGATAGCACATGAGAGAAGGCTAGAGATGCAGGACTTGCTCCATTTGCAAGTCCTGACCTGGCCCCAGCTCCTTGCTAACACACTCCTTCATTCTTCATTCTTACTTGAAACAACTCCCAAATGCTAGATCCAAGCCTAGTTCTTCATCTCCTGCAATACTAAATCCATTAAAAAAAATCACCATGTGCAGGGAGACATGCATATAGTTTTTATTTTAAGATGTTTTTTCATATAAACTAACAAACCATTAAAGGTAAAACAATATATCAGAAAATCTGAAGAACACAACACAGGTCAGGACCCTGGGCCCATGACCAGCTATAGAACGCCACACTAAGGATTAGACTGATGCTTCATGAAGTGCAGAATCCTATCTTTGTGAGGGTCAACCACTCCAGATGGCAAAAAGCTCTCAGCTGAGCAATACTATAAGGGGAGACTGCAGGCATGGATATTAATTTTGTCATACTCAGCTTACACCCTGAAGCTTGGAATTGTGTTTTTTGTTAATTATAAATATTGGCATGATGATATCAGAACCTTCCATCATGAGCACACTATTCACAAGCCCTTAATAATGTAGACGCAAATGGACAGGATTCAAAGAAGGGAAAATTCTCAAGAAAAGATTGAGCATTCTGCTACTGTAACTTAAAATGAGAGAAAAGACGGGACGTTATACAAATTAGTTAATAGTATACGGAATGTAAATCTGTACTTCTATTCATCCTCTCAATGCAAGAGGCAGGGCCGTCCCGGGGCGGGGGCAAATTGGGGCAAGTGCCAGGCCCCACGCTTTGGGGGGCCCTGCGGAGCCGGGCGGAGTGGCTGTGGCAATTCCATGCTACCAGTGGCTCACATCAAGCCGCTTGGCACTCCACCCTCCCCCCGCTGCTGAATCCAGCACATCCAGCTGCTTGGCACTCTGTACCCCCTCACACCCCCTCAGTTTCATTGTGTCCAGGGGCAGGGCAAGAGGACATCCCAATGAAATTAAAAGCCAATAGGTAGTTTTAAAAATAATTTGAAATTAGCCTGACACTCACTGCCACAAGATATAAGTGAGGAAAAGTATTCAGCAGTATTCAGAAGGGACTGGTTATTTATATGTGGTTAATGTCAATAAAAATTTGCAACAAAATAAGATAAAAAATAAAACAAAAGTTGACTTTTTCAGGGTATTTGTCAACCTCTAACTGATAAGAATTAGGGAAAATATTTAGCTTCTGCTGGATTTTTTGCCTCATCTCTTGAAGCAGTTGGTCTTGACCACCACCAGAGATGCAATTCTGAAATAAGCGGACCATTGGTATGGTTCTGTCTCACAATCATGTTCTTAAATTGCACAGATAAGTCAGAGAGCAGCAGTAAGTCAGCAAAACTAGGAAAAGAACCTGAAATTAAACTTGGATTTACTCCCATGTCATTTATAAAACAAATGATCTGCTTGCAGTATACTCTGGATACCATCTTACCTACCCTCTCTGGCCTTTCTGTCTTTAAAGCATTTCCCATTTGAAACACTCCCTTTGCAAAGTACAGCAGTAACTTTACACGAACCCTCCTATATCATGGTCTATTAAATCAATAAACTGGGGAGACATTGGCTTCTGGGATATGCAAGTGATCAGCATAAGGTCTAGCAACATGTCAGTTAAAGTGGCTTTATTCTGTGGACAAGATCTCCAGCCTGATCTGGTGTGCCTGCCAGAGTATAATGGGATGCAAAGTGAACAATATTAAAACTGTCTATATAGCACTTCTCTGCTTTCCTGAAGCCCAGGGCTGCTGAGGAATGGTTTGGCTCTGGCATCCATAGTAGGTACCAGCAACAGCTCCTAAAGAATCTCCACCTCTACACTAGGGCTGTGCAAAGCTTCAGTCCCTAATTCGATTTGGAGGAGATTCGGACCAATTTGGTGGCCAAATCTCTGAATCCAAATCAAATCAGAGGGCCCTTTAATCTCTCCAAATTGAATTGGAACCCTCTGAATTGATTTGGAAAGATTCGGAGATTTGGGCATAGAGACAGATTTAAATGTTTTTTCAACAAACCTTTAGGCAGCAGGGGCTCGTGAGTGCTGTGATGCTGGGACGCATGGAGCATCCCATAGAAGCCTGAGGGGCTCCCCAGTGCACTCAGCAGCAGACCTGGAAATGGACCAGAAGCACTTCCAGTCCACTTCTGGGTCCACCCGGCTCAGTGACTAGTGCCTCCTGGGTCTGGGGGACTGCCGAGGCAGGGAGGCACAGGGGAGGGGTCCCAGCATGCTCCCCAGCAGACCCAGAAGTGGACCAGAACTACTTCTGGTCCACTTCTGGGTTCACCGCCGAGCACATGGCTGGCCCCCCTGTACTTCTGTGGGACGCTCTATGTGCCCCAGCATCGCAGTGTTCACAAGCTCCACCTGCTACTTCAAGGTATGTAGAAAAAAACTTTTAAAGCTGTGTCTGAATCCAAATCACTGATTCTCTGAATCAGCATTGAATCACTGATTCTCTGAATCACCATGGGGTGGGCTGCCCTGGGTGGGACCGGGCAGGGCTCAGCCCCACGTGGATCACTGCAGAAGCAGCCATAGGCTGGATCCAATCAGTTGGCCAGCTGGATCTGGCCCACAGGCTATATTTTACTCACTCCTGCCCTATGGTACTTCAAGAGTGGGCAAAAATTACTTCTAAAACTCTTGCCTTTAACTGAAGTCATTACTAGCAACTAGCAGTTGTGCCAATGTACAGGTATGTCAAATGTTTGCCGACTTGAGTGCACTGTCCTGTATTTAAGCTTATCGGCCAATTCTATGAAAGTTCCGGATCTTCATAGCTTACCTTCCTGCTTCCTCTTCACGGTCTCCCTTTCGCATTGCCTATTTTTTCTGCTTCTCTCTGCATACTCCCTGTTTTTACAGCTGTATTTGTGTTAGGCTTGATTGCAGCAATCCCTGAGCTGCAAGCTAGCTTAGTCTAATAGCAGCAAGGTGCTACTAGATATTTTATGGACGATGTGATCCATAACAGAATTTGAGAGAGAGAGATCTGCTAGACAGCAAAAGAATACTTAGTAGGTTGTCTTGTAAGTTTCCTTGCAAAACTCTTTTCCATTATTACCAAACTGTTAGAAAGCACCAGTAACACACACCTGTCTCTTTGGACCTGGGCATCTCAGACCACCTAATTAGGTCATCAGAAGCCCATTGTTATGGCAAGAGAGCTAGCAAGATACTACCCATAGTGTTATATGCTTGTCTTATTGGAAGCCATCTGTAAGCAGATTAGTTGTTTTTAGAACTGACATGCGAGCAAAACTACGTTTGACAGCAGGTTCTTTTCCTAGTTGTGTTCCAACAGCGGTTTTCACTTAGAGTTGATTTATTCATACTCACAGCTTGTCTGAGAACCTAGCTTGTGCTCCCAGACTTCATGGAGTTGCTGATACTCTTGCTGGGCCAATTCAAGTCTTTGCTGTTTCACTTGGTAGATCTCCTTCTGAGCAGCAATTGCCTCTTGGGCCAGGACCAGATAGTCCTTCAGCATATGTTCTTGCTCCCTCCGCCATTGCACACGAGGGTCTTCTATCTGTGTGGTTTCTTTAAGAGAAGACAAAACCTTAATTCAAAGATAGACAGGGATAAGTGGCACCAAAAGAATATGCTTAGTATCATTGCTTAAGTTTCTGTCCACTCCATCTATGTCAAATTTACAATTTAGAAGATAGGCAATTAGCAATCTGTTGATCAGAAATTGAATTGTTTGGATTAAATTACTATATAAATGGTGACAATAAAAATGAAATGCTTTAGTTTTAGTAACAGATTTTAGTTATATAAACAGTTACCATGGAATAATTTCTATGCTTATTCTTATATATGTTTTAAACTGATGAACAAGTGGAGGACTTTTCTTTGTCAAGTTCCATGGAGGAGGACATGCTGTATTCTAAAAACATGTAGCTTATAAAGTAAAACAATTCAATTGCCTCACTGTCCAATAATTAAAAAATAAATACTTCAGGTACACCAATATCAGTTTGGCTACCCCTATAAACAACACAATAAAATTGCTGTCAGGTTGGAAGGTCTATGCTACAAAGCAAATAAGACAGAGGGTAGAAAAAAGGACAAATAGGTTCACTAAGGTACAAGGAAAGAGAATTAAATGATTTAAAGGATAACATACATAAAATTGGATACATAAAATTAAGTTATGCAATTAGCGCGTAAGATAAATAAATATCTATTTTCCCCGTTAAAAGGAAAGCATTCTTTTTATTTTAAATCAATGCTTTAGGGGATGGAGAGAAAATGATGTAGATAATAAAGATCATTTTTAGATAATGAAGCTGACACTATAATTAACAATTTAATTAGTTTGACCTCCATTATTCCAATTCCACAGACTTCTAGGTTTCTATTTAAAAAAAAAAAAAGCAAAAAGCCACTTAGTACAAAATATGTAAAAGCTAAAACAATTTCATTGTGGTTTAGTGAGCAAGTGTTTGAAAACAAATTCTCATTTCTCTCTCATTCCTACTGTGTCTCCTCATCTGAAACACAGAAACAAGAGTTTCCATTATTCAGCCAACTTCCAATGCTCTAGGCTGTCTGAACTAATCGCGCCTGAATGAGGATGCCTAGTTACCACGTAATGAATAATTAATAAAAAGAGGCTGGTTGAAACCATCTGTGGGAATCTAATCTGCATATCTTAAGAGTTTCTTTAAATATTTAGTAAAAACTGTCACGTTGGAGGCTATGAAAAAGTCTCAAATAAATCAGGCATAAGATTATCTTTGGAAGATACTGGATTGAGGGCAGCATGCATATTTTGCTGCAAACCCTATACATAACTCTAAATGCTTATGGTTTTGGGGGGGGGGGGTTGTTGGTCTGTCTGCTTTTTTTTTTTTTTAATCAAGGCACACAAGTTGTTGGCATAACTACCATAGACTGGATCATGCTGGAGAAATGCCTGACCAAAATATTCCACTGATCATGTGGTTTTAACTAACTACTTGTTCTGCATATGTGGGTGGGTTTAAGTAGTTTAAAGGGAATCATACTAATAGGGTACATTTTAAAAGAAATTCTAAGTTTTAAATAAACTTAAGGTTAACACACAAGTTACAGAAATGACTCAGAACAAAAAGCCAAGACACTGCAACAGTGTAGTCTAGTTCCAGATAAGGTTAATATTGCTACCACTAGCAGAGCAAGATTTTAAATTTTGTTGTGGATGTTAAAAATCAAGCCTTGATCTAAAACACTGCTTTAAAAATATAGCTGGCTTCCCCAACTACAGTTTTTCATCAAGACCAGTGTTAATGAGATCATAGTACTGTTCCACCAAGACAGTTGATGAAATGTTCCCAGTAACCTTGCACTAAGTAAACAGAAAACAAGTGCCTGGAAACTGCAGCATCATATAGGAAATAAGAATTTTGAAGTGCCAGTAGTTGTGCTTTCCCACAAGTCTTAGCACCAAACCACCCTTATTCAGAGTGAATCACTATGTACCTGCTACTTGGAAAAAAAATCCATTTGCATTGCGTCCAAAGTTAGCTGGACCAAATCCTCTGCAGAACACTAAAATGAGATGCGTTGAGAATTTCACGCGTGTAATCTGCCTGAGATAATACATCTGGTCAGCGTCAAAAGCCTGAGTCAGCTTTCAGCCTATTTTCCAAGAATACTTAGAAAGAGTTCTTAGAATGCAAAAGAAATATTCACCACTCTTAGTTATCAGTGATAAAGTATGAAGGAAACTTAGAACATAGCCAGCTCTTTAAAGCAGTTACTTTCAAAGACTTGGAACTAACAGTTACCACCTTTAGTGAAGCTGATTTTTATTGCTTTAAATACATGTGAACTCCTGGATAGCAATCGTTCAGATCTAGCTTTACCAAGACCCACCAACCAAGACAGGAACAAAGTAGAATGCAACTATGTTGAAAAAAAAAACAACCTCCCCCTCCGCCCCCCGCCCCAAAACCCCCCCACAAAAACTGCATTTTCTGCTTCTACCTGGAAGAGGCAAAGTTTAAAAGAACCTTGAGTGTGATGGATATATTTGGAAACAAAAGACAAAAGCTTATTTTTGCGCAGAAGCTCCAATGCTACTTTTGGGCATGTTCCAGTCTTCAGTTGCCTGCCAAGAGCTTGAAGTTCCAAGTTGCTAAGATCCAAAGCATTTATGTCAGAGGATGCTGTAAGTTTGCAAATTTTCTTTTTTGCCACTCCTACCTTCTCACTGCAATAGGTGGCTGTCTACTTTATTTTCCCTTAAACCCTAGACCAGCTCAGAATATTTATTAAAAATAGGAGTCAGAAGACCTAATTTCATTCTTATTGATGGTTTGAAGTGCTATTTATCATTTCAATTGCTGAATCAATTTCAGTAAGCCATGGATAATTTAGGAAACGTACCTTTAGTCACAATCTCTTAAAACTTGCATATTTTCAGATTTCAGTTATACAAAACAAAATGTCCCAATTTTGCATTAGAACCTACGTATCGGTGTCTCTTGCAAACTCACACTTGCGATTTTTCTAACTTGAAAATTATGTTTGAATGAAACGTCATTGAGCATTTTGAAACTTGCAATAGACGGGCAAAAATTTTTAACATGAAAACAAATATACCTTGGCTGTATTTAAAAAATTATATTTTTTCCCCATTCTCATTAACATACCTACATTGCTTTTTTAATGTAGCTGCATGTCTTGATCCACAAAAGATCAGTTCTCTATAGCTCAAAGTAACATTACTGCAGTTGCAAGCATTTGAAATGAAGCTAAAATCAGTAAGTTTGTATTTTCATATGAAAAGATAATACTACCAAGGCCCTCAAAGGACTTTCCTTGAAGTGCCTGACTGAGGCATTCTTATACCCTTTTTATTGATAGGGAAATTGAGGCAAGGGTAAAATAATTTTGCGGTTTGCTTACTGTATGACCCTGAGGAACAGGAAAGTGACAACAAGAGCTCCGATTTGAAATCCCAGAGTTAACGAGACCATTTTCCTTTTTTTTTTTCCCCATTCATTTTCAGTCATGCTCATCCTATAACCACTCCCAACTCTCTCCTTCCACCTCTTCCCTCAGTTGTCTCTGAGTTTTGTACTCTCTGTTCACAGGGTGGAATACATGTATACCAAGGCTGTGAGAAATTTTGGCAGCCGTTTCATTTCGGAGGTGTTTTGGCCTGTTTTGGTGACTGAAATATTGAACCCAAAATGAAATGGAAGGCTCTGCACCATCTCCAAAACGAAACCATCCAAAATGTTTTGGATGTTTCAGAATGTTTCAGAGGTGGGCTTGTGGGGAAACAGAAACTCAGAAGAGCGAGGGGGGAGATGGGGAAAGGACTGCTCTGATATTGCCATCTGTAGCTAGCCAGTGTCTGTGATCTGTCCCTGAGGTCCCTTCCAATCCCAGTGCTCTGGGGGAGGGGAAAGGATTGGATACACCTTTCCAATATATTAGAGATAGAAGACACAGTAAGCAGATAGAAGAAGATATAGTAAAGACCTAGAAGATATAGTAAGCAGATAGAAGATATACTGCACAGAGAAGATATACTGCGCACACATACACACACACATATATTAAATACATACAAGCTATATTACACACACACTTTCCAGACCAGCAAACATGATGAAGCATGCTGGAAAGGCAGGTGCCAGATCTTCTGGCAGGGGAGCGAGACGAGCTAGAGGGGGCAGGAGGAGAGCTGTAAGTCTGCCCCTCACCCCAAACTTAGATGCACCCTCTTCCCTAGCACCCATGAGGCTTCTGCTGCTAGTGGAAGCAAGGAGGTGGGAGCAGTGTCTGCACCTGCCCCACCTCCACTAATAATAATAATAATAATAACAACAATAATAATAATAATAACCCCTAGTGCCACAAGCACCAGCATGACAATCTCTTCCACCCCAATTTCAGTTCCCAGCGTGAGCCTCCCAGTGCCAGAGGAGGAGCTGGATCTGAAACCAGGGGAGCTCAGTGCCATAGTCAGGAAAATTCTGGGGAAGGAGGGGGAATCTGAGTTTGTGCTCCACACACCTCAAAGTGCCCCTAGAGCCAGGTCTCCTTCTCCAGAAGGGACTTCGGAGCAGGTTGAGTTTGTGAAGGCAAGTGGATCAGCTGAGTCAGCTGCTCCTGTTGTTGTGCCTCTGCCTTCTAAGGAGGGAGATAAGGCAGGATCTGCACCCGCACCACAGAAGTGAGGGGGTAGTGTAGTGTGGGATCATTTTGAAGTGGCAGATGATCCCAAGTATGCTATCTGTCTGCACGGCCAATGCAAGACCAGCAGGGGCAAGGATGAGAAACACATCAGCATCATAGGGATGCTGATGCATATCAGAAGGCATCACCCCCTTACCCGTGCTCCTCCTCAGCCTGCACCAGTGGGAGTGTGCCCAAAGGGAAGCCCCCCTCTCACTCCAAAGTCCCTGTCCCTCAGAAGCAGGCCACCCTGGACCAGTGGGGGAAAGGCAGAGGGAAGGCAGGGCACATTCCCAAGGCGAGTGAGACCACCCAGGGCATTGGGGAGATGCTTGCTCTGGATGGCCAACCCCTCTCCTTAG